TATCAATTTCAGTAGTTCCCTAATACGATATCTATAGATGACATTGTCAAAAGATGCTGTTATCTATTCTGGTTAATATAAACAATACCTGCTGATAAGAATCCATAAAGCTATTTGTAAGCCTGACTTCCTATTGGTTATTAGATTAAATAATGGGAAGCGTAATCCTATTATTAATCATATAATTTGGACCTTATAAGATACAGAATTTGCATAGAGATTAAGTAAATTATATAGAATATAATTGAGATTCAAAAAACTATTTAAACAAGTGCAAATAAATTTACCAACTATGGAATTGGATGGTTATCTTCAAAACGTTTTATTTTTGTTACGCTTTGCAAACTGGAACAAGACATTTTATTATGCAATGATTCTTAGAATCAGGGTATAAGGAAGGGTAACCCCTCACCATTAAATGAACAATAAGCACCTCATCTATGACAGGCCATGTATGTATTTTTCACGGGTAGATAGTGATACTATCACTATCGATGGTCTAGCAACCAGTGCATTACAATAAATCCTGAACTATTTATTAGAGTTCTCAATAACAGGAAACGAAACAGAAGTGTCTTTTTGGATGCTCACTTCCTAAAGATTTGGGGTAATGAAGATAGGCAACAACACCATATAGAGAAACTAGTATCCAAGAGTAATGCATCTGTGGGCCTTGGGTATATGTCCTTTCTTATGTCTATTAACCGTGCATCGATTACTGCTGAATTTAGGGAGATGGATAGTGATGACTTCAAGGATAGGTTCCTTGCTCCGCTTGACAGTGCTCTTAGAGAATCGATCGTTCGGAGTCGACCTTCAGCACAAGAATATAAGTGCCCATTGGGAGATGCAGTGCATGTGGAACAATATATCCAATAATACTTCAATGAAAGGATAACTCCAACACTTAAGGATCATTTTTGTGAATTTGGTGATATGGACTATTATTTGGTAGTCGATCGATTACAAGACCCCATTAGATCAAAAAGAATGATACAACCTGATATCTTTCATATTTTAAGTAGGTCGGATTTAAATATACAGTGTCCCGAAATTGTTTTTGGAATAGGTGATTACTCTTGAAGTAATTTCTCTAAGGGGTTCATTTCAATATTCATTTTTTTAATTAAACAGTTTGTAACTAATGTATTCAGAT